GAATTATTGACAACTGAAATTCGTATTTCACTAAATTTAATCAAAAATCCAGACTATCATACTTTAAATTGAGAGTTTTCATCAAAGGCACCTAAGCGTACACTACAGTATATGTTGAGAGCCTCCAAGCTGCGTATGAACCCGAATGTATTGTTCCATTCCGGCAAAGTAGAATTATTCTGAAGCCACAGAATATGGAATTAATCAGATCCGCGAACACTTCAAAAGTTAAGCATCATAGGTGAGTTGACAAGACTTTAATATTCGCGCGCTTTATTAAGAGCAATACTGAAGAGATTCTGTGGTACCATTTATGAGTTGTATCAAGTCTTATTCCCGAACAATCCTGTAAAAAATATTTGTAACTCTGGCCCATAGCCTAGCAACAGCTAGCTTGGAATAGTATGAACTGCTATACTCTATATATATGATAGCCTACCCCGGCAGACTGATTTAGTTGTGAACTGGACGATGTGGAAGATTTTCCCCACTTCACTTTATCAAAATTACTATAAAGAACAAACTTGATCACTACAAATCGTTATGATTCCGTCACTATCTCCCAAAAATAATCCCTCCAGAGTGTAATTAATGTGATAGGAATATTCTTCTCTCTCAAATAAAGTAATAGTCCTAAGAAATATATGATCTCCTTAAGAAATAACATATCTATGGATTAGGCTGAAGGATAACTCTGGGCATGTTATGAGAGTATAGAATTTTTTTATTTATTTTTTACACGTATTAAGAAAGGATTCATTTCCTATTTCATCTCAACTTCCCAGCTTATTCTGTCAGTTTAAGCTTAATAATTCTGGAGGAGGGAATATTACCTACAAGCACCCTTAGTCTTTAGGATTGATTAACAGAAACAAAGTAATATAGCAGAACTCCAAGGAAATTTTATCGGCATAGTGAGAGATTGGATTTATTCACCTTCTTTGTTTATTCCTTTCTCTCGTCCGGCTAATATTTAAGCAACAAAAATCAAAGAAACGAAGATCTACAATTATACGTCATTTTCTAGTCCAAAGAATAAGACTCTCGTGATATATTTCCTATGATTCCCACCGTATTAAATAATGAAATCATTATAAAAGGTCTAATTAGTTCTTTATCAGAGGATATAATGGTATATCACTAATATTATGACAGCCCCAATCTATGATAACAGGATTAAAAATATTAAAATAAAGACAAGAAGCAGTGCTATAACCGAAAAACAGCCAAATTACTGTCTCTCCCCCCCCCATAAGTATTATATGATATGAATGTACATTAATAATTAGTAAAGTTCTAAAGTTAATAGATAAAACAAAAAAATTGCCTAGTGTTCTATCCTAATCTGGCTTACCTTTCCGATAGTGCCTAGAATCAAACCAACAGAAACCCGAGCCAAGATCATGTAATTAGGTTACTAAAATAATAATTGTGGAATGATTGTGAAATCCACACAAGATCTAGGCAAAATCAATTCCTACACAACCCCTTATAGATTATAGAAAAAAATATAAAAGGAATATTTAGTCATTAACTCTCATTCTGCCGTCGTAATAAGCTCCCCTATGTGAGAGGTGGTATATATGAGTTCCTCAACTAGATCTGATAATCAAATGCAATTAGGAAATTTCTTAACATTTCTAATAAAGAAGGAGCAGCAGTGGAAAATCAGATAGCGGCGCCTTATGTTATTAGCAACAGACTCCTGAAGAGATATTAATCTGTCCTACCCAATATATGG